GCCCTGGAGTGGAGACACCGCCATAAGACAGCGTGGTCTCTTCCCATTTGCTCCTGGGGTCTCGGGCCTCTTTGGAAGGCGTGGAGGAGCCAAGTGTGGACTTCATGCCTCGGGTCCCAGCTCTCTGTTGACCCTTCCAGGGCTATGATTCGCGGTGGGGATTTGAGAGTCTATAATCTGAGAGGGAGGACCCTTGGGACTCTGGCCCAGGTCTACTCATCTAGGCTAGTGAGCCCCCCCCCCCACACACACACACACTTCTAAGGGAGATGAGAGTTCTGGCCTCAAGCGTTCAATCCCCAACTCTGAAATGAGCCAGGGTACTTAGCTCTGTGGTACCCCAAGAGTGAAGGCAGGGAGACCCAAAGGGACTGCACACCCAAATGTTGCTCAGAGAATGAGCACTTCAGCAATGAAGCTGGATGGCCAGAAAGAACAAGGGGCTACGATGGGGGTAGGCAGCTTTCTCTCAGATGTGGTTTCTGTATGCATCAGTTCTGTTGTGGTAAGACCTCCTGGGAACATCTGGAAAATGAATTGACTCTAGGTTGGTGTCCCCAGCTTCTGTCTTACACTCATAGCAGTGTCTGTCACCATCCCTCCCACCATCAGACTATCATTCCTGGAGAAGCCTGGGTGACAACAGGTCCTTGTAACAGAACGCTCAGGAGATGTGACTCCAAAGTAGCTTCCCGTCCACACCCCAGAGTTCTCTTCTCTCTCCTTCCTTCCTTTCTCCCCTCCTCTGTCCTTCTCTCTTCTTTTTCCTCTCTCCCTCTTCTCCCAGGCTTGGGATTCACTGGTCAAAATCCTGGCAAAGTCAAGGTAACTAAGGTACCTGTTAGCCTGCCCTCATCCTCAGGGAGGGGGATCCTGCCAGAGTGGTTTTCAAGAGCTTGGCGCTTCAAGCAATAAAAAGTGACAGTGCCTCTTTCCCGAGTGCCTCTACTGGTCTCATTGCTCAGAATCCATCGCATTTTTTTGTCACTTAACCTTACAATTACCCTTTGAGGAGAGAGTGTGAGTCTTGGTTTGGAGTCTGAGAAAGTAAAGATACTTGGAGCAGGTTGTGTGGCTTTGAAAAGTGCAGAGACATCCATGTGCCTAACTCCCTGCACTCCAGAAATGCTTGTAGAGAAAGATTGCTTCAGGAGGCCAGGGAATCCACCATGGCCCAGAGACAGGAAGAGACTATTCACGCCCACAAGAAATCACAGTCTCGAGGGGCTTGTCTCATGGCCTGAGAAAGTCCCCTGCAGACACAAAGACCCGCCTTTGTTATCCAGCACTGCATAAACTGGGCTTGGTAGCCCATGCCTGTAATTCTAGCTCCTGGGAGTTGGAGGCAAGAAGATCAGAAGTTCAAGATCATCCTTCCCTACCTAGCAAGTTTAAGGCCAGCTTGTGCTACATGAGACCATATCTTACAGAAGAAGAAGAAGAAGAAGAAGAAGAAGAAGAAGAAGAAGAAGCAACTAGAATCTCATACTTGGGTCAGTGAGGAGGAAGGAAGATGGAGCCATGATGGAGGAGAGCTAGAAGGATGACACTGGCTGAGCTCATGGGAAACAAGAAGGGTAGGCAAGCGGGCTAGAGTTGAGCAGGAAGTGGCAGATGAGCCTTGGCAATTAGTCACCTGTAGCTGGGTGGTCGGTCCATAAAGTCTGGGTTGACAGGATCTGGGAACCTGGGCCAGGTGTCCTGCCCTCTAAGGACCAATTCTCTCCCTAGTGACAGATACCACTTCTCTCCTGAGTAGAGAGCAAAGGAAAGGAGCAGGAGGAGGACACCAGGGGTCAGAGGTCGAACTATACTATCCCACCCTTCCTATCTTGTCCCCACCCTGTCCTCCTGAGTACCATGCCCTCTCCCCTCTACCATGTCACCGTGGCAGATCACCTCAGGGGGCAGCTCTGTGGATAGTAGCCCTGTGTCCCATGGGCATAAAGGGGTGCTGTTCTCTAGGGCAGCTCTCCCTCATCGGGCCCTCTGCACACCTCAGCCTTTCCAAGAGGCCCCTGGCATATGGTAATGACCTTCAGACCTTCACGGAGGTGTTTCCAGGGACGGGCTTCTATTTCTTACCTCAGAGTGGTAGACTGAGCCCCTCTTCTTTTCAGGATACCCTGATCGAAATGTGGGAGCAAGTTGGTGGTGGATCCCCAGAACTCCCTTCCAGGGTGTGTTACATGGGACCTGTAGGGCAAACCTGGGTCAAATCTCATTTTCTAGGTTGAAGGGCAAGACTTGCATGAGTCCAGGCTTTGGCCTATGCAGTGGCCGCTGTCCCAGTTCTTAAAGGCCAGCCTGTATTTCCTCATTCCAAGAAGTCAGCAGAGCCTCTGATCAGTGCCTGGGGACACCTGGGGGACAGACCAATGATAGCTATAAGGGCCTGAGGTGGGAAGGTGGGTGTAGAAACCTTCAGAAAGTTTTGATGAGGACCTGTATGACCAGGAGATGGCCTGGGAGCCTGGCTTTCTTTCCCTTATCTACCACCAAGTCAGAAGTGACATCAAATGCTTAGCGTTTGAGCATGCACAGGTGGGGACACAAGACAGTCAGAGGCCTGACCAACCAAGTAGTCAGAGAGGCAGATGCTCCAGGCTCAGAGATGGCTGTGCTGTCGCCTCATTTGTCTTCTCGATTGGTTGGTAGCAGCTGCTGAAAACATGGCAGAAGGTGGCTGCAAGCCTGTTATCCAGTTTGAATAAAAGCAAGCCTGACAGCAAGTTCTGCCCACATGTAGGCATCTTTTGATGTGTTTACTTCCGAAGAGCTCCAGCAGCTCCTGGGAGCCTGTCCTGGAGGTTTTCTGACATCCCAGCCATCTGCCTCTTGGCACCCAGATCACCCCTCCTTGGAGTACCTGCTAGATGCTTTTACCTTTCAAGTCCATCTGTCCTTCAAATTCATTTGACAAACCCACCCCTCTGGAATACCTCTGTCTTCAAAAAAGATCAGAAAAAAAGAGCATGTTTGCTTTGCTGATTGCTTTGTGCTCATGCTACCAGAGAGAACAACAGCACACCTGCACAGTTGCCACTGGAAGAGGTGGGGATTTCCCGATCAGTGAACCATGGGAGGAGTCTCCATTTGAATGCACTTGGGGCAGCTAGACTAGCGAAACCACCCAGAACACCTCTCTTTATCTTCAAAGCCTTTTAGGACCAAGAACAGCATCATGTGGAGGATTCTTGTAAAGGTGGCCTTACCCTCAAGGAGCAAAGAATCTGGTCAAGGCTGCTGAGGAGTAGATGCCATTTGCGCAGAGTAAAGGGTGACATTAAGTTGGTTCTCTGCCCATCTTAGCACATACAGATGCTTTGCCGAGTGTTAGTTTTTGGGAAGCTGCATTCCCAGGGGACAGGCCAAGGAGAACACCAGCCAGGCCCAGTCAAGGGCAGGGGGTGGCAGTCCAGTCTGAGGTGTCACTAGTAACACACACACACACACACACACACACACACACACACACACAGAGAGAGAGAGAGAGAGAGAGCGAGAGAGAGAGAGAGAGAGAGAGCGAGAGAGAGAGAGAGAGAGAGAGAGAGAGAGAGAGAGAGACAGAGAGAGTCTCATTTGATCCCCCCCCATCAGGTTGGTTTTCCTATGATCCTCTTTTATGACCCTAAAGCCTGAGATGTTAGGAAAATCATCCACCCTAACAGAGCGGTTGGTGGCCAGACTTCGCCATCTCTGCCTGCCCCCATCCCTCACTGCCTTGTATCTCTCTGAAGCACCAGATTCCCTGGTGAAGTGGCCCGTCAGATGAAGCTTCCGATGACACAATAAGGAACAGGGGCACACAACCTACATTCTCTTCTGCCTTCAGTCACTTAGATTTTCTCCATACCCCAGTGTGGGCACAACTTGTGGGCCACAGGCTGCCCTGAACATTTCCAGCCTGACTTAGACCAGCTATAACCCCACGGCACCCTTCACTGTGTAACACCAAAACTCAAAAGGGAAGAAGAAAAGAAAAGAAAGTGAAAAAGAAAAAAATAACAACAACAACAAAACCCCAAGACCCTCCAACCCCTGAGCAGTCAGCACACCTAGATAGAGGTAGAGGTGTGGTACTAGTAGACGCAACTGTGCACCAGGAATCCTCTTGAGAAATCCTAGCAAAATAGTCCTTGAGAGCTTGCAGAGTGAAATAGAAAACACATAGAACGAATTCCCACTTGAACCAGACTTTGTTGATTTTGCTTATTTGAAGTTGGAGTCTGTCATCATGAATTTGAATAGGCCTAACTGCCTTGTTTGGGGGCCCAGGACAAACGCCACTTGGGACATTTTCTAGTGGGCCACTATGTCCTTAACTGTGAAGTGGTACCTGAGTTTCCTGGGAAGTGTACGCTGCTCCTGTAGCTAGGACATACACCCCGACTGCCTTCTGCTTTTATAGCCACAAATTGCTCCAGAGGCCAGTCTGTGTTTGCTTCCTTGGAGCCACTTTTGGTCTTTGGAGAGAGTTCTGTGGTCACATGGGGCAGATGGCTGGGACAGTGACGGACTGCCTTATGGTCTCCTTCCAAGGAGGACCCCCTTCCTTCTTTTCATTTCTCAAGACTCCATTCCACCCCATTATTCTGCCTCACAGGAATCTTCCTCCTCTCTTGCCAGAGAAGCCCTAGCCCAGAGCTATGGAGGGGACATTACAAGGAGTTTGAGTGTCCTCATACAGCCTCTCCTCCTCCTAGCAGCAGCCCTATGCTTTCTACTCTCCTTCCAGGAAAGATGTAAATTAGCTGTATGGATCCTGGGAGCCATGGCTTCTCCCACACACATAGGGAAGCACATCTTTTTGGCAGTTTTCTCAGCAACTTTTTTCACCGGGCAAAATGAAACCAAACTCATATGCATCTTTCAGGAGGCCTAAGGAGCCCAAGCCTGTCTGTGATTCAGCACTGACCTAACACTTTGCATTTGCAAAGATCTTTATAAGTATTTTTATAGATTCTTCCCTCATAGAGTCTCGGTGTGACCACAAAATAGAAAAAGGAAAAAAAAAAAAAAAAAAAAAAAAAAAAAAAAAAAAAAAAAGGCTTCCCACTTCTTAGACAATGGAAACAGGACTCTGCTCAGAGTCCAAAGATTCAAGTTCAGGCAGGTCTAGTCAGCCCCACTAAGGGAGCCATGTGACTCTGGGCCAATCTCATGACATATCCAGTTTAGGGTTTCTATGGGGTCTAACACTTGGGAAGGTTTGTCTTGCCTGGGCCACAGAAGAAGTTTATAAATAGCCGTGTGGTTCGAAAATGTTTTTTGGACGATCTTATTTCAGGTGTGCAGACAGAAGCATTGAATCCTGAGTGGAGGGGCAACCATTAACAGAGGACACTGCAACCCAAGCCTTTCCAGGTGAAGGTCGCTGAGAGAACACAGGTAAGTGGGTTCTGTTGCCCATGGCTCCAAACTGTGGTTGCCAGCCCATTGGCTGCTATAACTCGTGGAGCTGTCCCAGAAGGAAGCAGAGGCCAGAGACACAGTGTGTTCACTGAGAGAGAGCTCAATAGCAGCTCTTGGGCCAAGTGGGCTTGGAGCGGATGTCTTTCTCCCCATCCCCAAGCTGAGCCTGCCCCAGAGAGTTCTTATTTCCATCTCCCTCTGAAATGGCGGGATCCCAAGGAGAGAATGAGCCCAGGCTGCTACTGGATGTCCACCTCCCCCCATGACTTATATTGAACCCTGTGTAATATAAGGATTGCACAAGAACCCTCTTCTTGTCCTCCAACACTGGAGGACTCAGGCCTAGCATCAGGACTGCCTCTTGGTCAGTCTCCGACACATAGGCAAAAGTCAGTCCCTATACCTTACAAGTTCCAAGAGCCATGTGGCTTGTCCAGGTTTGCATAGTGGGTATGGCAGAACTGTCCTTAAGCTCCAGTGTCCCCACAGCAATGCCTGTTTGCGGAGGAGGACCCCAGACCAAAGATAGACACTAGCCTCCTTGAAGGAAGGGATTATCATGGTGCTTTGTTGCAGGAAGGAACTATCCAGGTAGCACCCAGATGGTTTCAGGGTTTCCCTGTTCATTCACAGTCAGTAAGACAAGCATCAACCACCATACAGAGAGAGAGAGAGAGAGAGAGAGAGAGAGAGAGAGAGAGGAGAGAGAGAGAACAAGGCAACCTTCCCACCACTATCACAATACAACCATCACAATAAACACACACACACACACACACACACACACACACACACACACCCCAGCACAATAGCTCCCTCCCTGCCCCTGTGGCCAGGGACACCCCATTTCAGGTGCTCCTAACAACACTGACTAGGAGCTGGAATAAAAATGGGCCTGGGAAGGGGAAAGATGACTGGCAGAGGGCCAGATCAGCGGGTGTCCCTCCTGCTTCGGTCACCATGGCAACTCCAAGGAGGAGGAAAAGGGCTCTGGGCAGTGCCCAGCTTGTGTGATCAGCTCTAGGGGTGGGGGTGGGGAGACTGTGTCCCCTTCTCTCCTCCCCTGCTTGGCAGTGCTGAGACACATCTGCCAAGTATGGGTGGTCATATTACAGACCACACCTCCAGCTTGGGTGAGTTGGGTAGGAGCGCCCCACCCCCATGTAAGATAAGCATCAGGTTTATGATTAAACATGGACAGATAAGCCTGCCCGTCCCAGGAAGCCCATACCTATGACTCTTCCGCCACCTGAGAAAACTGTAAAGCCCACTGAATGCCTTTCCCCCCATCATTTCATCCACCCATGGGTCTATGACAGCTTCATCCTCAGAGGAGCCCAGACCTGAGTAAGAGACAGGATGGTGTGTGCAGCCTGTCAACTTGTCTCACTTTGTCCTTCACCCCGAAGCCTTGGAGAACCCCTCAGAGTGCAGCCTATTAGTAGAAGCAGAGGGTGCTATGGGAGCTGCCTGCCCTAGCAAGTTGATTAAAAGGCCAAAGACACTGTCCTTAGTCAGGTCACAACTTTCTGATGGAGTTGACATGCAGGCACACTCAGCAGAGAAACGGTGACTTCTTTGTACACGATGTGAGCCTCTGTCCACTGGCCAAGTGTGGCCCGGCTCCTGCAGTAGAGTATTGGACAGCCAGACAATGTTGGGGTATGAAAGCCAGACTCACTGAAGACATTCCTTATATCTGCCTTGCTAAGAAAAGTCAGCTCCCAAGGGAGCTTGATCCATGGTGTGGCCAGTTCTACTTTCCAGAAGCTTCTCTAAAATGCCTAAGTAATGCCTGCTGATGGAAAGTTTTCTACATGGGTAGGACTTAGAAAGGAAGTAGCCAGCACTGTCCAGATAGTATGTTCTAGAAAATAGCACAGCAGCCCCAAGGGATGTGGAAAGAGGCTGTGGGCTATCAGCAAGGTAGCACATATCTTAAGTAGGT